ACTTCCATCCTCATCTGAATTGTTAATGCACAATGGGACTAGAAATAGCTGCAACCACACCAGGAGGGGACGCAGCACAGGAGTATTTTCTGTTTTGCACGTAGGCTCTATTCATGAGTAATATAAAACCTTTCAAGGGGTAACTGTATTAATCAGGCACTTGTACAGCTTTTTATACATCTGATATCATCGTACCTTGCATGCGATATGTGTGTAATACAAATCCTGGGCACAAGCAATCTTGACATTGCAAATTCATCTCTGTCAAGCAGAAGTAATCAAAGGTGACTTTAGAGTGATAGTTGTGGGCTACAATTCATAAAAATCTAAGATCTCAAACGGCAGCACGGGATATGGAGCTAATTTCCTCTGAACTGTAAGCATTCACCAACATGCTCTTGTATGCAATGCTGCCTTTTCTTTGTGTAATATGGAGTTGGAGTGGGAGGACAGGTATCAGTATTTCTACTGCACTTACAACTTCCTACCGTATTTGCATGGCATGGCTTGTGCTGCATACATTGGAGTAAAGTCTTCTCTGTCAAAGGGCCATGTTGAGGCATTCCGTGGACCTCTTTTTCAGAGCCCTTCAGGCCCCACGTATGGAGGACTGTGCGAAACCATTATTTGTGAGTGATGTGAATGCTGACTGCTCACATTACTGAGGTGCTGTTCTGTTTCTGGTATTCCCCACACAGGTTCATTGAAACTATGACCAATGGATCCAGCCACAGCAAGGGGTTAGCATCACTATAGCTGTGGTGCTGTGAAGGTACAGAGAAATTGAGGAGAAAATGTGTCAGCAAGTCTAAGGCCAGCAGCAACCTCCAGCAGCTGCTAACAGCCTGCATATGAAGATCCCCACAGGACAAGTGGGAGGTACAGCAATCCGAGAATTTATTGTGGTTGATGCTGTTTCTCCAGTGAAAAAGGTGCAGTGAGGATGTCCTGGTACATCAGCACAGAATGATGGCAACTGTTGGAGTCAAATCTGCAACATGGAGTGAGTGGCCATCCTATCCCAGCGGCCATCAAGGGGACAACTGTACTAAATGTTTAAGCAACTGGCTGCTTCCAAGCATACATAGGGAACTTGTGCGATATCTCTCAATTCTCGACGCTCAAATGCATCAAGGCTGTTATCATTACTATCATTACAATTTGTGCCCAATGGCACCACTTCACCTTGTTTTCCCATGACATGTCGCCAACGTGCCTGCTTCACCACCTCCTCTGGCAGTGCATTCCAGGCTTCTACCACTCTCTGCATGAAAAACTTTCCTCGCACAACTCCCTTAAACTTCTGCCCTCTCACCTTGAACCTGTGCCCCCTTGTAACTGAAACTTCAACCCTGGGAAAATGCCTTTGACTATCCACCCTATCTGTGCCTCTCATAATTTTGTAGACCTCTATCAGGTGTCCTCTCAGCCGCTGTCTTTCCAGTGAAAACAATCCTAGTCTTTTTAACCTTTTCGTCATAGTCAATGCCCTTGAGACCAGGCAACATCCTGATGAACCTTCTTTGTACTCTCTGCAAAGCTTCCATGTCCTTCTGGTAATGTGGTGACCAAAACTGCACACAATACTCCAAATGCAGCCTAACAAGGGTTTTATATAGCTACAACATGTTGTGCCAACTCTTGTACTCCATGCCCCAGCTGAGGAAGGCAAGCATGCCATATGCCTTCTTAATCACTTTGGCCACCTATGTTGCCACTTTTAGGGAACTGTAGACCTGCATGCCCAGATCCATCTGAATGTTAATGCTCCTAAGGGTTCTGCCATTTACAGTATAATTCACACCTAAATTTGATCCTCCAAAATGCATCACCTCACATTTGTCTGGGTTAAACTCCATCTGCCATTTCTGTGCCCAAGTCGCCATTCTATCCAAATCCTGATGTATCCTTTTGCAATTGGCACTATCAGCAACTCCACCAATCATGTCAACTACAAACTTACTAATCAGACCACTCACATTTTCCTCCAGATCATTTATATGTACTGCAAACAACAAAGGACCTAAGCCTGATCCCTGTGGAACACCACTAGTTACCAGTCTCCATTCTGAAAAACATCCTTCCACCCCTACCCTCTGGCTTCTATGACCAAGCCAGCTTTGTATCCATCTAGCCAGCCTACCATGAATCCCATGTGATTTTAGTTTTTGTACCAATCTGCCATGTGGGACTTTATTAAATGCCTTACTAAAGACCCTGTAAACTACCTCCACAGCTCTTCCCTCATCAGTTATCTTTGTCATCTCTTCAAAAATTCAATCAGGTTGGTGAGACATGACCTTCCCCATATGAAATCATGCTGCCTATCACTAACTACTCCACTTTCTTCCAAATGTGCATATATCCTATCCCTCAGTATCTTCTCTAAGAGCTTCCCCACCACAGATGTCAGACTCACCGGCCTATAATTTCCTGGATTATTCCTGCTTTCTTTCTTAAACAAGGGAACAATGTTGGCTAAACTCCAGTCCTCTGGAACCTCACCTGTGGGCAAGGAAGATGTGAAGATATCTGCTAATGTCCCAGCTATTTCTTCCCCTGCCTCTTGCAGTAAACTGGGATAGATCCCATCTGGCTCTGGGGACTTGTCTACCTTAATGCAATTTAGGATACCCAAAACTTCCTCCTTTAATGTATTGACGTTCCCTAGAGTATTCACAAACTCATTTCTGACCTTAACATCAATCATGTCCTTCTCCTCGGTGGATACTAATACAAAGTACTTATTAAGAATCACTCCCATTTCCTGTGGCTCCACTCATAAATTCCTCTCTTTGTCCTCGAGGCCTTGATATGCCCTTTCTTCTAATATATACATAAAAAGCCTTGGGATTCTCCTTGATCCTGTTTGCTAAAGACATTTCTGGCCCCTTTTAGCTTTCCTAATTCTGCATTTAAGTTCCATCCTAATTTCTCTATACTCCTCAATGATTTTGTCAGTTTGTAGCCGCCTAGACCTACTGTATGCTTCCTTTTTCCTTTTGACTAAGTTTACAATTTCCCTTGTCATCCATGGTTCCTGGATCCTACCATTCCTATCCTTCAGTTTTGCATGGACATGCATGTCCTGCACTTTAATCAACTGCTCTTTAAAAGCCTCCCATATGCCAGACTTAGATTTGTCCTCAAATAACTGCTCCCATTCCACATCCTTGTCTAATTTGGATGTAATTGGCCAATTAAACACCCTCACCTGAGGGCCACTCTTCTCCTTGTCATTGACTACTTGAAATCTTTGGCATTATGGTCACTAAGCCCAAAATGCTCTCCTACTGAAACACCGATCACCTGTCCTGGCTCATTCCCTAGTACCGAGTCTAGTATGGCCTGGGTGGTGGGCTTTGCCAACATCATTAGTTTGCTCCAGCTGCAAGGCACTACAGACTCTACAAACATCAGGGAAAGTTCTGTGTTCATCAACACAAAAGGGTGCCATTTCCTCAATGAGCAAGTCTATGCCTTGGAGCACACGGGCCCCTGTCATTGGAATCCTACTGCCAGGACCCTTTGTACTCAGGGAGAGACACCCAACAGTCAGATTAGACCACGATGCATCACAGGGCTCCTTGCTTGCTCTCTTAGTGGTTACTTCTTTCATGTCTGCTTGGATGCTTACAGCTTCACTGTCTTGCCTTTTTGTGCTTTGCCACCTCAGCAAGACCTTAAAGGCTCACTGTACTTTTGTACTGCCTTTCAAAGTCAGGAAGTTTGTCACAGTTGTCAGCAGCGATCAGTCCAGCCGGTGGTCATGCTGGCGTACGGCACAGTGATACATCCATATCACATCCGCACCAAATGCCAGCAGTGTATGTGGCAAACACACTAAATGTGCTTCAACCAAATGGTTATGTCTCAAAGTCTGAGGGGCATAGTCCCAGTCAGTAAAGGGCAGTGTCTAATATTTGTCCAAGGACTTGGTCATGGTTAATTAGCCACTTAGGCCTTCCAGGGTCAGAGGTTCCACATCACTCTAGTCTGGAGATTGGGCCATGGTCAGTCCTGCAGGACAAGTGCAATCAGTCTGGGGTATCATTGTAAGTCCATAGGATAGCTGCACAGGGATTAGTCAAGGGTCCAGTCACATCACTGGGGCTGTCCACGTCAGGGGGGTGGGCCACAGTTTGTCCTGGGCAATACCTCAATGGGGAGTTATCAGAGGCCACTGCTGTGGTAGGGAAGTTGGAGAAGTTAGTTGTAGGGTTTGGGGGCAGCATGCTGGAAAGCAAAGGGACAATAAAGTCAAGGGGAGATTGCTCAACATACTAGCAGGAGAGACAATAGTACATCAGAGGACATGGGTCACCGTGGGAGAATGGGTCATCAATAGTCATTACGGTTGGCATGAGTAAACTGTAGGGGCAGGGCTCAAGGGGGTAATTTTGGGAGATGATGTTATGGGCATTGGGAAGAGAGTAGTAGTGACTTAGGGATGGAATGTGAACAAAAGGTAAACTTTGTGGCCTGGTGGTTAGACAACACTGGGACAAGGGAGGGAGTTGCACGTGTTAGGAAGTATCAGCCAGGCCAAGTATGTGCTGTAACCAGCATGTGTTTGGGGCTGTTGTGCCATTATATTGCCAGTGATGGGCACTCTGGAATGCCAATGCTTGGCCAAATGTATGTCTGGGATTTAAAGATGGCACTGATGACAGGGTGCCAGTCTATACTGGGATATCTGGTGGGTGGGGATTGTTTCGGCTATGGCAAGATAGTAGAATCAGGTTAGCATTGGATGAGAAGGGCACCACGGAGCATGGCAGGTATTTAATGAGATAAATTTGATAAGATACAGTCAGAAATTCCATTTGACTTCATGTAGAGAAACCCTTTGTGAAATTAGATGAAATTGACACTTGGGTTAAACTATACAATCTTATGACTGTCACCTTTGACAAGAATCAATTTTCAAATTTTTCCCTGCTCAGAAATTATTTTACGAACAAACTCATTAAGCAAATAAAGTACCATGTAAATATTTTGGTATGTTTATTGTATGTGGATCTGAGAGAAATTTATAAACAAGAGAGCTGGTCTTCAAATGAGCTTCTAAGCTGAGTTAAAATTGGTCTGATGTTTCTGTCCTGCAATTAAATCAAAAAAAGAATATTTAAGGACCCTTCACTGAACAAACTACATTCTATCTAAACTAAATTGATTTAATTCTTCCATCGACAACAAGTGCTAGAAAGGCAGTGGGATAATTAGAAGCTTACTTTTTTTGGGTGAGGAGTCAATCATATCAAATTTTTTAAAAGTATAGACACTCAAAGTATGGACACTCATTCTTCTACTCAGCTTGGATCCAAATTTAAGTTAAGGTTCTCTGTTGACCAACTCCATCGTGCGGCAAACAGGACCATTTTCATGGAAAGCCCATTTATATTAACAGCGTGGTATGATGGTGCACAGGACCACACTGAATATGCAGAAATAAACTCCTGAACAGTAACTAAGTCATTTGTATCTGCTGACCTCTGTCACTGACTACCATATTCAAGATCAAAATCAGATCAGTCATGATCTTATTAATTGGCAGAGCAGGCCCAAGAATCCAAATTGTTTACTCTTGCTCTTAATTCATATGTTTATAATCTCAGTATTTAAACAAACTAAATTTAACGTTGTCAATTAAAATAAAAATGAGGAAGAACTGAAGTGCCAATTTACAAGCATTGATGTATTCAGAACAGAAGACAGGGAACAATGGAGCAAAATTAGGCTAAGCTTGCAGAGCAGGGTATCACACAGGGTTAGACATTTTCCTGTGCCAGTCAGCTTGAAAATAATGTTGCTTTTTCTGAAAGGGCAAATTGACAATGGTGTGGTGAAGGCAACAGGGCATCTAGGTCCATAGTAAATGGTGATATCAAGGCTAAGAAAAGAAATTTCTTCAGTCCCATTCGGTGGATCAGAAGAGAGGAAAAGAGACAGAAAAGAGAAAAGGAAATAAAAGTTTAGAATTTTCAGAACCTCTAACTATTTACTGCATAAACAAATGAGATTGAATAATTTGAATTGTTCCCTTTCTGTGACAGAGATATTGATCAGCATTGCATTAGCAATTATTATGCTGTAGCATCATCTATTGTGGGTTGTTGTTAGAACATAGTCCACACACAAGTCAGTGAACCACAATGCTCTTTAGGTATTAACCAAATCAAGGAGATGGTAAGAGAAGACATCTCTGGCATTCTACACACTTGAGCCTCAGTTCAATATAATCTGGCATCGTTGTGACATAACTCCCTACCCACATGTTATCATTAAAGTACAGTTGTCATTAAACTATAGGTGTGGTTAACTCTTTACTCCACACTCATGATTCAAAAAGGTATTACTTGTTGTAAATTTCTGCAGTCAGGTTGATAGACAATTAGTGTGAAGATCCAGTAAATTCTGAAAAATAACAGGAAAGCTAAGGGCAAGATGCTATTTCTATATAGCAAACAACTGTGAAACATAAATTGACCAGAAAGGTCTAGTGATTCAGAACACCTGAGATGTATCTGAGATGTAGGTTGTATTGCTTAAACCTCTGAAATAGTTGGAAGATTGAACATTAGTGGCAGCTTGTGGCCTTATTTTTATTTTTATATTATTACAGCAAAACAGGCCTGAACCAAAACAGGCTGGAATTACGATGGCCTGCAGTGAAATGGCTATTCCATCCCTAAACACTTTGAGCAGGAAGTTCCTTGGTGTTCCTCCTGGTTCACCAACATTACTTCACCTTAGACTTGACAGAAGATCATTTACAAGTGTAAATGCAGTTTCTTCTGCTGCATTTTTAACATTTTTAACTCCTGGTCTGGCATGGTGGCCTCTCAGCCCAGTGAGGCAGCTTCCTGGCCTGGCATGGCAGACTCTCAGCCTGGTGTGGCCCCTATAGTTGAGTCATGCAGTTCTGAGATGTATGCTTCCAGGTTGACGTTGGTTCATATCAGACAGTCAAGACGATGGATGTAATAACTGAAAGCTAGGACAACGTTTGTCTCCTGAAAATTCCGGCAGATATTAAAAGCACCACCTTTCTTTGTGTTACTAGACCCAATGTCACAACTTTGACCTTTTAATAGATGAGCATGTTCCTTAAAATATGGACACGCTCAGAAAATCAGAAAGCAGTTTAAGCAGCATTGCTGAGAACTTGCGCATTTATTGGATTCCATTTTGTGTACTGTTTATGTAATTATTTGGCATAATATTTGAGTGTTCTTGAAGTAACATAAATATTTTTGCACTGCATCATATATAATAGTCAACAGCACTAAGTATTAACCAAAGCCTAGGTCGATACTAATATCTTTAGGGGGAATCATAATCACATATAAACATTGATAAAATTACACCATTGAGATAACATGCTAATTAATGATGAATCCTATGTGTCATGAAGAATGAAATCTGCATTACTCAGGTTTCTGTTTCAAGCTGTTCTTCTAATTCCTGTTTGATTTTCATCAACTTCGGCAAATAATTTCTCCAGGAACTGAAAATTTAGAATATAACATATTAACCACAGTGAATATTTACATGTATACACTACAACAACTAAGCCAAACCACTTACACAACAGATTTATTTTTCAAATCCTTCTATCTTCTTTGTCTTCATTTCAAGGCTAACACTTTGTATCTGTCATTTCTCTTCTTGGTGAACCATACTGAAATAATAACAATACAACTGAGTTCAAGACAATGACACTAACGAATCCAAATGTCATCTGGTGAATTGACAATCACTCATTTTAGTTTAAAAAGTCAGCTATTTTGTAGTTTATATTCTGGAGACATTAATGTCACTTCTGTTATTTTGAGGTTTAGCTGACAATGTCGGCCAATACAATCAGACCATTGGACAGAGTGTTCTGGATTTATTTTCTTAAGAAGAGAATAGATATCTGCTTCACATATTTGATAGATGCCATATTAATAAAAATGGCACAGCCAAAAAGCATTCTATTTAATGATGCTTATTGGCAATAATACTAATGCTACAGTCAAATAAAATAACCGTGCTGTTAATTTTGTGACCTCTGAAGTACAGCAGGTTTGGCCAGAGGGGTGGGAACGTGATGAGGCAGCTTGTTCACTTCAGTTCTCTGGGGCTTCATCCCAGAAGTTGTTAATCCCTTTAGCTCTCACCCCTCACACTTGTTCACCACCCCCACCAAACACAACTCCCCCATGGCCCTGTACATACTCGACATCATGCTCTATTACATATAGTGTGGGCACCACATTATAGAAAGATGCAAATGCATTGGACAGAGTACAGAAGTGATTTACGAGGATGGTTCCAGGTATTAGAAACTTCATCTACGAGGATAGATTGAAGAAGTTGGAACTGTTCTCCTTGGAGGGAAGAAGGTTGAGAGGAGATCTGATTGAAGTTTTCAAAATCAGCGGGCTGGACAGCGTGGAAAGTGAGAAGCTGTTTCTACTTGTAAAAGAAACAAGAACGACAGAGCATAAATTTATAGTGATGTGCAAAAGAAGCAAGAGTGAGGTGAGAGAAAAGTTTTTCATGTGCTGAATTGTTAGGGTATGGAGTGCACAGCCTGGAAATTTGATGGAGGTACATTCAATTGAGGCATTCAAGATGGCATTGGATGTTTATTTGGATAGTAATGGTGTGTCAGGGATTTGGGGAAAAGGCAGGAGAATGGCACTAGATAATACAGATGGTGCAGTGCAGGCAATGATGGGCCAAATGGCCTCCTTCTGCACCATAATAATTCTGTGACTCTATGCCATCTGTATGTTCAATTACCTGCTATGTAAGATGGAAAGACCTTGGGAGCCTTGGAAATGAAAAATAGACATTAAATAGTCTTTCAATCCCAAACATTTAATTGTGAAAAAAATCTCCCATTCATAAATCCATTCAAAGCTTTAAAACTTCAAGTGGTTAATCTCATAAAAACAAACAAACTTCTTTTGTGTCTGCACTTCAAATTCTTTAACAGCCTTCCTAAGCTGTCAATCAAACTGTGAAATCAGAACCTTGTGTAGAGATCATTATAACTTTTGAAGCCAAGCAAGCATAATGACATGAAAGCCCTCATGGAAATGTTAGCTAAGAGTTATCTTGAAACTGTACAACTAGATGCTACTGGTTTTTCAAACTTCTTTCTGTCAATGATAGCAGTCCAGCATTTGGATGTTGCTTAATTCTCACTGACAGCTGCAGCTGTTTTTGGTTGCTTTAAAGAATGGACATTAAAAATTTAAGATTATGGCAATTATATGGACAGTTGTACCACTATTGAAGAGCATTTATTATCATCCCTACAGTGTGGAAACAGGCCCTTTGGCCCAACAAGTCCACACTGACACTCAGTCCCATCCCCTATAACCCACCTAATCTACACATCCCTGAACACTACGGGCAATTTAACATAGCCAATCCACCTACCCTGCACATCTTTAGACTGTGGGAGGAAACCGGAGCACCTGGAGGAAACCCACGTAGACACGGGGAGAATGTGCAAACTCCACACAGACAGTCACCCGAGGGTGAAATTGAACCCGGGTCCCTGGCGCTGTGAGGCAGCAGTGCTATCTACTGAGCCACCATGCCGCCCCAGTGAGAATCATACCCCTAGACCAACAAGCCACACGCGTTTCAGCGATTAAAACTTTAAAGGGTCCAGATAATTGACTTTTTTTTGCCCTTTAGTAGAAAGGCTTCCTTTAAAAAGAGTAGAAAGTTTACCATTCATTCCTACTTCTAAAAATTTGTTTTTTTAAAAAACACATCCAATAGTCACAATAGGATTCATTGCTTCTAAATAGTGGATAGTGGATGAACAGGCATAAAAGTGTCACAGACTAACATGGGACATGAAAAGCCACATTGTATATTTAGGGGCATGAAATGGCATGAATGGAGCCTGGGGAGTAAGGGGTTTTGAGAAATGAGGATGAAGGGAACCAGTTAAATATCTTTTCTGTCTCTCTGTAAAGGAAATTACTGTGAAAAGTAATCATAAGCTGCTTAAAGCTGCTTCTGAAAAAAAAAAGAATTTCAATTGTGCACCAGATCAATGCCAGAGAATGTACTACATCTTCAAAAAAAAACAAATTAATGTCAGCAAAGGCAAAGTGCTGTTTCTTACCAGCACAATGTTTAAAAGGCGTGCACTCATGATCAATAATAGCTCACAGTAAGGTTAATGATAAGTGACGCATTCAAATATCATCACTATACTGCAATATGTACCTCATATGATGATGTACATATTAACTTACTCCATCAATTTATGACTCTGACAATGAAGGTGAGGGCCCTTGCAATAGCCAACATGGGGTAATAGCTGTGTTGTGATAGCAAGAACTGCAGATGCTGGAGTCAGAGATTACACAGTGCGGAGTTGGAGGAACACAGCAGGCCAGGCAGCATCAGAGGAGCATGAAAGTTGATGTTTAGGGTTGGGACCCTTCTTCAGAAGAACTTTCCTGTTACTCTGATGCTGCCTGGCCTGCTGTGTTCCTCCAGCTCCACACTTTAATAGCTGTGTTGAGTGTGGGTTTCTCTCCTGTGTGAATTATACCTCCTCCCCTTTCCTCTATTGTCAAAAATTTAATCTGTCAGAAAAGGAGCTGGGATTTCTGCATTTGGGTCCCATACACCACTATTAAAAGTCCACAGATCCTGCCCAACACCACGAAAATTCAGTTCTGAGTAAGCTTAGTTTTTGTATCAATATGTCTTCACCATGTCTTTGTGTAAATTTATACAATAGAAAGAACTAACGTTTGTATTTGCTTGTCACACTTTTGCAAATATGCCTTTGAGGCTCTCCAGAAGGTAAATTTCAACTCTCTCCCATTTCCACTGACTCTCAACACATCAGCATGTCGAATTTTCCTATGATCCTGCTCTGCTGTTTACAAACCTCTCTAAGTGCAATATAGTTGGCAAGCACCTTCATATTTTTAATATTGAAATAAGCAGCCCTAGGTTACTCATAGTTTCTAATTGTCATAAGCAGTTTTCGGCTTGTATTTTCTTACTTGGCCTCAAATTTCACTCCTTTGGTTTTACTCATCCACACCCCACTCCTTCCCACTTGACTTTATGTTCTGCCTCAGAAGTACTTCTTAATTTTTCTTAAATATCTGGTAAGCTATATATTTTTAAACATACACCAACTACTGCATTTCACATTGGACAGTTAATAGTCAATTAACAGTTAATATTTCATAAAGACATACAGCACATCAACACTTGCTGGCAATAATCAGCTAAGACCAGGCCCCCTTTCCCTTCTTTGTTTCGTGCGTCTGTCCTCAGCTTTACCTGATTACCAACTCCTTTCTCTGATATTGGGCAAGACATAAACTGATGTCTGTTGCTAATAGATTTTATCCTGCCGATGTGTATTGTAGGAGGGTAGACAACCAGGAGGCTGGAAGAACACAGCAAACGAGGCAGCATCTGGAGGAAAGAGCAGTCAACATTTCGGGTATTGCCCTTCTTCAGGACTGGATGTGGGGGTAGGGGAGCTGCAGATAAAAAGGCGGGGTGGAGGTGGAATGGTGGTGATAGGTGGACACTGGTAGTAGGTACGACCTGGTTGGTTGATTCATCCTTCCCATCTGGTTGGTGACTGGAAGGGAGGGTCAGAAGGTCGAATGGAAGGGAGGAGGTGGGGGTCTAGAAAGGAAGCCAAGGGATGGGTGGGGAGGTTATTTGAAATTAGAGAACTCAGTGTTGAGTCCTTCGTGCTGTGATGTGCCTAGGCGGAAGATAAGGTGTTGTTCTTCAAATTTACATTCTGAGTCACTGCAACACTGGAGGAGGCCGAGGATGGACGCGTGTGGGGGCTGGGAGCTGAAATGGGTGGTGACTGGGAGGTTAGGTTGGCAATTACGGGCCAGGTGTAGATGTTCGGCAAAACGGTTACCTAATCTATGTTTGGTGTCACCGATATAGAGAAGACCACATCGGGAGCACCGGATGCAGTAGACTAGAATGGAGGAGATGCAGGTGAAGCTCTGTCTCACCTGGAAGGACTGTTTAGAGCCTTGGATGGAGGTGAGGGAGGTGGTGTGTGGGCAGGTGTTGCATCTTTTATGGTTACAGGGGAAGGTACTGGGTGGTTTGGAGTGGTTGGTGGGGAGTGTGGTGCGAACGAAGGATTGGCAAAGGGAATGGTCTTTGCAAAAGGCAGAGAGGAATGGGGAGTGGAAGATGTTCTGGGTGGTGGGGTCTAATTGGAGTTGGTGGAAGTGTTTAAGGATGATACATTGAGGATGTGGAAGCTGGTGGGGTGGAAATTGAGGACAAGGGTGACCCTAACTTTATTATGTTTGGTGGGGGGGGGGTGATTAAGAGCTGTGAAGTGGGGAATGGAGGAGGCGTGGTAGAGGGCTGTCTGGATGACAGAGAGGGGGAAAGAGCGTTGTTTGAAAAAGGGGGACATCTGGGATGCTTAGGAATGGAAAGTCTTCTTGTCAGAGCAGATGCAACGGAGACGGAGGAATCGAGAAAACGGGATGGAGTTTTTGCAGGCTAAAGGATGGGAGAAGGTGTAGTCTAGGTAGCTGTGGGAGTCTGTGGGTTTATAGTAAATGTCAGCCTGTAAACTGTCGCCAGAAATAGAAATGGAGAGGTCAAGAAAGGGGAGGGAGGTGCCTGAGATAGACCAAGTGAATTTGAAGGTGGGGTGGAAGTTGTTAGAGAAGTCGATGAACTGTGCCAGTTCAGCCTGGGTGCAGGATACAGCACTGATACAGTCATCGATGTAACAGCTGAAGAGTTGGGGAACAGAAGCGCTGTACGTACTGAAGAGAGACTGTTTGACATGACCGACAAAGAAGCAGGTGTAGCTGGGACCCATTGCGAGTGCCCATGGCCACCCCAAGGATTTGGAGAAAGTGGGATGAATTGAAGGAAAAGTTATTGAGAGTGAGGACTAGTTCGGAGAGGCAGTGGAGGGTATTGGTGGGGTGAGGGGGCATGGATGGGTCTGTTGGAGAGGAAAAAACTAAGGGCCTGTAGGCCATCCTTGTGGGGTATGGACCTGTATAGGGATTGAATGTCCATAATAAAGATGAAGCACTGGGGGCTAGGGAACTGGAAATTACCAAAGAGATAGAGGGCATGGTTTGTGTCCCGGATGTAGGTGGGGACTGCCTGAACCAAGGGGAAGAGAATGAAGATGAGGTAGGAAGAGATGAGTTCAATGGAACAGGAGCATGCGGAGATGATGGGTTGGCCAGGGTAGTTGGGCTTGTGGATCTTGGGGAGCAGGTAGAACTGGGCAGTGCAGGGCTGGGGTACAATAAGGCTGGAGGCGGTAGAGGGAGGTCACTGGAAGCAATGAGGTCATGGACACTGATGGGCCATGGTGGGGTCGTGGTCAAGGGGGAGGTAGGACGTGGTGTCAGAGAGTTGGCGTTCGGCCTCTGCAACACAGAGGTCCATCCTTCAGACTACCCACTGACCTTTGTCAGTGGGTTTGATAGTGAAACGGGGATTGGTGCAGAGAGAGTGGAGCGCTGCATGTTCAGTGGGGGAGAGGTTGGAGTGGGTGAAGGGGGGGTGGTCGAGAAATTGAGGCGGTTGATACCGTGTTGGCAGTTCGCAACGAAGAGGTCCAGGGTGGGTAACAGGCCGGCAGGGGGTGTCCAAAAGGAGAAGGAAGGTTGGAGGTGGGAGAAGGGTACTCTGGAGGGTGGTTGGGAGCCTTTATTGAAGAAGAAGGCACGGAGGCAGACACAGCAGAAGAAGAGTTCCACGTTGTGGTGGGTATGGAACTTGTTGAGGTGGGGGTGGAGGGACCTCCCATCAGCACAGAAGTTCCTGCTGACAGTAAAAAGCATATGCACAAAGGATAAAGATTCCAGTTTTCTAATAGATGAAAAAAATTCATGCAGCAAGCAACATGCATTTTCTGTAAATGTCACAATTATTTCCTGTCAGTCTTTAATCATCTTGCTTCAGATGACACAATCAAGTACATCTCCTGTCCCATTAACATTAATACCACAAGAGATTCTGTTAGTCTATAAGATTTGAGAAAATCCAACAAACTTCAGATACCTCATTCCAGTGTCAAAAATATTCAAAGTAAGGTCAGAGGAAAAGGCACTTATTTCATGTGAGGTCAAGTAGATGGTTTTGTTGAAGTAAGTTTGTAAATTCAAATGAAGCTCTAAATTTAAAAACACCTGACAATCTGCAAATTTCCCACAATTAACATGGGAATTAATGTTTACAATTAATGTGTGATTGACCTTGGACATATTTATTTAGAGAAATTCAACTCTCTATCCTTAATGGAATTGGATATCTTATGAAGTTCATGTGAACATTTGCATTACCAGAATATAAATAAAACAGACTTTCTTCCTGGAAGCAGATTTAGGAGGCAATTCAGTGACTTTGGAGAGGCAAAAGAGATTGCTGGTGGGATGTGGTTTGCAAGGACAGTGGAGTTAAGTTTTGGTTCTTTGGGGAGAAAAATGATGACAGCATAATTAAAAATAACAAAGGGTAACATCTGAAATGAAAGAACCGCTTACAATATTGGTTAACAGAAGAGGAAGAAGGCAAGGTGAGTGGAGTCCAGGGTGAATGTCAACAAGTTTTGTTGGAATAGGATAGGTGAAATAGAAAGTGAGACTCAGGGACGAAAGGAGCTTAGAGGAGGTATGACAAAAGTCAGGAGTGACATTAGAGAAGAATAGAACTTAAAAACTAGGGTGTTAGGAGCATTAGGGAGTTTGGCCATGTGAGTTTGTGGAAGGGAAGAACATGTCAGAGGATGGTCTTGATCTTACTGACACAGAAATTCATCATCCCCTCACACTAACTATGGAGGTTAGGGTGGAGGGAACAGGGAATGGAGAGTGGTTTAAGAAAATAGTTTGCAAGAAGCTGGGGGGAATCTTTTAGTCTGTAATAAAAAAAGGTAACGTTGCCCACGTCTCATTCCCTCACTAGAAAGAGAGATATGACTGATGGAGAGTTTAACCCGAGGTTCACCACACCTCAGGCAAGGGGAAAGGTTGAGAAAGCAGGACCTTGATGGTAACCTCAGCTAGGGCAGCAATCGAACACATGCAGTTGACATCACTCTGCATTGCACACCAGCTATCTGAGCAAACCAATCCCTGGTAATGTCCAATTAGAGGCTGCAGATGGTATACAGTTATGGAAGGACCAATTGCAATTGATCTTAAAGGGAACAAATTTAATTTTAGAACTATTTGTCAGGAGCGTGAAAAGCAAAGAAACGTAGTCCATCACAATGTGGTTCTATGGTTTGTAATGCCATTTGTTGGGATTTACCATGCCTGTGCTAAACCTAACGTGGAGTACGCATTGCTAATAACTGATAGCAGGATTGGGAAACACTTACGTTCCCCAGCTTTTGCTCACCTGCATTTGGAATATCATTCAGCAAAATATAAGAGAAAAATTGCAACATGTTCCCATGATTCCACACTCCAATAACATTAAATTAATACTTAACATTAAGCTGCTTAAAAGCAATGTGGTTGTCAGTCCAGTGATGAAACCTAGTTTTAGGGACACCCATATATTCAAAACAAGAAAATGAATGAAAATTGTCACCTGTAGTCTGTATGAAATCTCTGGAAGACTTGGAAAACACTTTGGATGGGAAGATAATAATCAAAGCCTTTTGTTGGTGTGTTGCAGTATTATACGGAACAGTGATTTTCTGTAAACCACACTTTACATTGGACTGACTTCACATATCAAGCAATATTACTGAATTTACAACTTTGCTCCAGCTGTGGAAGATGCTGTATATTTGTACTTTGTTAAATTTATGTTTACCTCTGGTTTCCTGCATCCTACAGCCTCTATATATTTTTTGAAAGATATTGTTGCATGAAGTCCTCTTATTTCTTCATCCTTCACAGAAAACAACAAATTAGAAAGGAGTCAGATCAGATTACTAATTACCACACTCCTGTTTTCCCACTTGTTTCTTCCTTCCATCAGTTCTCATCTATCCATAAGTATTACCATTGCCCGACTTGATCAAGATGTCCAACTACTCAGTGCTATAGATTACAGCTAATATCAAGTGGCACAGGAAAGGATGTTCTAGTAACTGTTCCCTACTTACTCACCTATGTAGATAATTGGTCATATTTTAAAAAGCACCATGGGCATCTTTCTCCATTTAAGAGACAATTTGTTATTTCTGGAGTTCAAAAATTGTGGGTCATGAGGAACAAGTAACTGGGGTCACAAGTTCTGATGCAGCAATGGTGGCTGTGCAATGGACACTCACATTTGACAATCCTGGGATTGGTTGCAAAGCTCCTTTGCCTGTGGGTGTGACTTAATCCAATTAGCTCTGAGACCTGATTGCTGGCAACAGGGCCGACGAAACGTGAGGTGTCTTGGACGTGTACATCATTGTGCAACTATCCCTGTTGTTTGAACACCTACACTGTTCAGCAACTCTACCCCCAACCCAGTCCTTCACCAGATATTGTTCTGTGGGGCATTAACAAACATCAAGTCTTAAAATTAGGACACAACAGAAAAGGTTTGAGAAGCACAGGATTATTTACTACAGAAACGTTTAAAGTGCAGTGGGCGAAATTTGACAAAGTCAACCAGCTCATTCATATGAGATCTTCCTTTGGTAGGTAAATGCTTACAGTGCAAGGGGTGAAATCTGACCGGGTTGGCAGCAACTCATGACCATCCTCAGTCATATGGAGTTTGTCTTCTTGTATTTAAAGAATTACATTGTTCAGTGTTAAGGCTGACTGGGCCCACTAGTCTGACCATGCAAGGCAGCCATAGTGGGAAGCCAGCAAACCTGACTGAGGCAGGCGGAACAGCTGCACTCAACTGGAAATGTTGAAAGGAACAGTACGGAATGGAACTTAATGGATGTAGATGTGAGGTGGAGTAGTTCCTGGGGAACAGAGGTAGCAACTTGGGTGCAGAGGGTTGACTCATGATGACAGGGGCAAAGGAGACAAGGAAAGGTGGGGAATACAATGACGTCTGGGGAAGGAGAACAAGCAGGTGAACTGAATAATGGGCAATATTAGGGTAAGGCTGGGCATGGGGATCTGGCTGGGAGTGTGAGACAATGATAGTGTTAGATTGCTGTTAACAAGGTGTTTCACCTGATGCAGCAATGCGTATGTTATCTCCCATAAGAAACTCGGCATGGATATTGTGATATCAAAGAATCCAAAACCATCTATCATAACAAACTATTAAATGCAAACGTTACATTCCTCAGGCATAGAAGAGTCTGGACTAATATTAAACTACTATGTTACAACAGATCAGCATGCTTCTAGTACAGTGTCATGCTTCAAGTGATCCAAGGTAAGGTGGAGTATGAGATTTTTATACCCTCTTTCATAAATAACGCTGCAACAATGATATCATGAACATGTTTCAATTGACATTCTGACTGTGAGATGTTAAGTCTCTAGTGGAGACTGAAGAAGGACAGAAGTGAGGCCATTGGAAAGGAAAAAGCTGTGGTGGGGAGGGGGAAGTATATTCTAGAGGGGCACTGGAGAAGGTGAATGACTTAAAAAAAATATTTACAAACACCATCTTGCTCTACATCAGTTTTCAAACAAAGGCCTCTCAGAGAATGTACACCCTAAACGAGAGGGGCCCCAAGTCTGTTTGCTCATGTTCCTGCAAAGCACAAACATACATAACTGGGGCAATAATCAAAATAGAAACTGAAAAATGGGATCGCGCAGGCACTCAGTGACAGAATTAATACCGAAGAGAATCACTCACTACAGGATTAAGGTGCATAAATTCTTGCAGCTCCACAGACCAACATTCCAACCAACTCCAGTCATTCATTAACCTTTTGACAAGAAGGGCACTCAAGAATCAACCTCAAGAAAAACAAGATTCCACATCTGGCATGGGACTTCCACACAGAATTGTTTGATAAAAATCAACAGTGCTTCCAACTGAGCTAGGACTGACATCATTAAGCAGCAGACTGGACTAACAGCCTTAATGGACACAGAAATGAATGCTAACATTTGTGCTATTATTAAAATGTATTTACATGATGTCTTTTATGCCATGTGCAAACTAGACCATACATGTACAAACCAAACTCTTGACTGTTGAATTTTGAAACCTTGATCTAAAATAGAGCTGAGGCAGTGACATGTTCAAGGTTACTGTTTCTCCTTCAGCAGCCTTTACAATCCATTATGATCACCAATTAAATAGTTTATTATCATTCATTTACAATTATCATTTAATGTCTTTTTAAATAGCCTTTATAAAGGAACAGACTCTGATTGGACATCCAAACTGAATCAGCAATATTTTATCTTATTGTTAATACCCTGAACAATGTAAAAGTTAGGTTGTTGTTAGTTTCCACTGTGTGTCGTGTGTGTGCCTGAGATATCTGTGAGGTGTTCATCCCAAAAACCATCTTTTTAGTTGTTCCATGCAAGCTTTATGATTAATATGAGACAGGGAGAATTCCTGACATTGATTGGCTAGAATAGTATAGAATTGTTGCTGCAGAGAAGGAAGACATTTAGCCCGTTGTGTCTATGTCAGTCATCTCTTGAGCTCCTCAGCTAGTCCCACAATTAAATTTGTAATTCCATTTGTGTTTTATCTTCATGTAGGTTGCCATCACTGCTAATTTCTGCCTATTGAATTCCTCTTTTAAATGGCATGGTGGGGGTGGGGGTGGGAGTAGGTTGGTTGCACAGCCGCTATCAATGCCGCTAAGATCACTGACAGCAGGTGCATTGCAGTCACTTCAACTTGGCTTGCTGGAGTTTCCATTCCTTCACAGAGATCTCTATCGTTGGGCAGTGCTCCATCTACTGGCCAAACTCTGAACTGGCAAATTTCCTCATCTCGCTTCCCAGACAGGCTTTATAAAGGCAAATTTTACTCGAATTAAACAGACAACAACATACTGAGCACCGGCTTTACAGCTGTCCTGCATTGGAAACGAAAATCTGACGAGATGTACAATGGCTGCTGATTTGCTAATACCAGTTTTACACTGTCACATCAAGTCAAAATTACTCCCACTGATTTGAGTTCAAACCTGTTTTTAGACGGGAATTTGTGTAAACCCTGACAAGAGTGTTCCACGAATAATGCTACAAAACCGCTATCTACAACTGTTGTTTGACTCAAACAACAGCTATTGTTTTCTGATCGAAACACATGAATAGAAATAGTTTGTCAATGTAAACACAGCTGTACGCTTTAAACAAAATCTTACAGGGTATGAAGGATTTGACAACATAATAAAGTGCTAACTAAATGCAAGTCTCATTTAATTCAATTCAATTAATTCCCAACTGCATGACTATAGTGACTGTCCTGTGTGTAAGTCCTGTGTCTGATCACTATTGAGTGATCCCAATGTAAAATGTGAACATGATATCCTCCATGCTCAGTTAAGTTCCTGACATTCCCTATCTAAGTCAGATGGATGGTCTGTATCCTTACACTGTCACCCTACATGAGTCACTTGTTTCTAAGGAATGCATTAACGTGTAATCAAGCGAATTCCTACACCCGATACAGGCTATTTATGCACATCACGCAACAAAAAAAAACAAATAAAAATGAGATTACCCACTAAATTGGATGATTTGGTTATTCATTTGCAAAAGTAAATATTGTAAATTACTACCTTCTCTCCAGCCCCTTCAGGCAAAATCGTTTTGTTTTTCTCAGCCTCAAAATTGGGATCGATCAGAGGTTCATCAGCTCTTCTTTTTGACCATGTCTTTGGGTCCAAATACCAGGCTCCATATATATATTTATCTCCATATGGCTGGGTGGATTCCTACCATAATATCAACAAAATGCTATTTCACTTATCTTTGAAAAATTGCATATGAAAATTCATTTTGAATAAATTGCTCATTCATTAAAAATTACATATAAGTAAATAGTAACAATTGAGTTAAAAATATACTATAATAGAAATCTAACTTTAATTAAAATATATATTAAAACTATTCCAATGTGATTTGAGAAATCAGACAGTGAATCTAATCTCTCATTCATACATCAGTTCCTGTTTAAAGTTCTTTTGGAGATGAGCAAAAATAAGTTAAAAAACTAATTTGCCCTGCATCTGAGGGACTGCTGCCTTTTCTTTGAATGCAGCCAGCAGTAATACTGACACAAGGAGTGATCGCATTGTTCAATACATTATTTACTGCCATCAAAATTCTTTGAGAGCAGATTTCATTAAAGATCAGCTCGTCAAATACCCCTAGTTTAGTAATCTCTGTGCTCTTAAACAGTCTGCTTTCTTAAGACAGCCATACCAAGCAAGGCTTTTAAACAGGACAATCAAACTAGATAAATGTTTTCCTCTGCGATTTTATATGAAGACATGCAGGTTACCTATATAGTCAATGCAAATTAATTTATATTCTATTCCCTTATTTAATATACAGAGTCAACAATTATGCAGAAACCTAACACAAAACAACAGATCCCAATTGTCTTAGTACAAGAGATAGTAGGAACTGCAGATGCTGGAGAATCCGAGACAACAAGGTGCAGGGCTGGATGAACACAGCAGGCCAAGCAGCATCATAGGAGCAGAGATATTTCCCGGGTCTCAGTTAGAATACCGTATTCACTTTATCACCCCTTATATAGTGAGGAATATTGAGGCTTTGATAAAACTACTGAGAAAGGACAGAAAATTGATCCTCACTTTAGAAAACCTTAGCTACCTTGGGTAGTTTAAAACAGCAAGGCTAATGTATATTAAAGAATAGTCAACTCAAGGTTAATTTGATTTATGTTCTGTAAATTAATAGATTATTGGACACTGTGTTTGTGTGGACAAATAGTTCAACCAGATCGATCAGGGAAGATAAGGTGTCAGACTTATACATTATGCTTGAACTGAATTAAGCTGGATTTCACAAAGATACAAACTTCTGGAGAAACTCAGCAGGTCTGGTAACATCTGTGAAGAGAAAGCAGAGTTAATGTTTCGGGTTACTGGACTTGAAATGTTAACTCTGCTTTCTCTCCACCGATGCTGCCAAACCTGCTGAGTTTCTCCAGAAATTTATGTTTTATTTCAGATTTCCAGCATCCACAGTTCGTTTGGCTTTTATCTGCAGTTCTATGTTTTATTTAAGCTGGATGTTAGGTGGTTCTTCTGTTCCTTGTATGTAGCAGAGCTGTGGAACATGTGGTCAGCTTGTGTGGTGAACGTTAATTCATTGCATATTTTCAAAGAGAGCTGAACAGGTTTCTAGTTGAGGCAGTGAATGCTCCATACAAGAGGTGAATAACCTGTATAGGTCAATGATATCTTGGACTAGTTTTGAGCTCCAAAAAGGGTCAGAGAAGGACTGTTCATATATTTTATCTTAAATGGCCTGGAGTTTTATCTATTTTTTCACATCTCTCAGGACTTTGTGCCTCTGGGAGGGTGGTGAGTGTTTATTTTGTGCGACACAAGGAATCATATCGACTGTATACAGGACAGATTAGACAAACAAACTGGTCTTTTTCTGGCACCATTTTCATAAGTCCTAATGTTCTTTTCCACTTCTTTTTTTAACAAATACCTCATATATATTTGTTTGGAGAATAAATCTACCAGGAGGTCTCTACCTTGTGCCCCCATGCAAAAGTTCAGATTGGGACCCCTACATTTTACTAGATGTTGTACACTATCAACTCACCTGGTGTTGCCCAAGAAGGACAAACATTAATGTTTCTTTTAGAATACTGATTGAGTCACTGCATACATTCCAGAATTTGTGGCATAACTACAAAACAGGGGTCAATTACTGTTTTTCTGAGGGCTGTCTTGAGATTACTCAAGGAAATGTTTTGATTTTTGTGGCTACTATTTCATTATCATTAACTCTTTTATTCAGTAAGATGCAATCATCGTGCCTGTATGTCTGTTGACCTATTTAAAATCACAGCAGCAGAATTAGAAGAATTCATCAAATCAATTCTCCATTAAACTTAATGCCACCTCACAAAGGGAAAGCTTAGATTTCCAAAGTATCATAGTATTTAAATTGGTCCAAGACAACAGCCATAAGATAGCAACAAAAACTATTCCTTACAAATAACTGACACACAGTTCATTAAAAAAAAATTGCAAGGAATTCATTATATGTAACTTTACATTTTCCTGGATCCAGGTTAGTTAGGTATTTCTTTGTTGACATGTTTGACTTGGCAGCTTCCCTCCCTTTCCACTTTGCAGCCACTGGCTTCTCCTAATTTTCTTTCCCCTTCTGAGCTCATCTGGAAGACGACCACTTTAACCACCCTCACCCTGCAAACTGACTCCATCCACCAACAATCCCCGGCCTTGCTCTTCACATTCACTGACCAACTCCCTCCCCACCCCTAGCGACTTCATAGAAACTTATTCCCTCACTAGCCGCACCCTGCAGACTCACACCCCACCGACTCATTTCCACCACCTCCACAACCCCTCCTGCCCCCACCTTACATAGAAAAATACGAACTAGGAGTACAAGTAGGTCCTTTGAGACTGATTCACCATTCAATATAATCATGGCTGATCCTCTATACCATATTTCAGCTTTCTCCCATACCCCTTGATGCCTTTAATATCTAAAAAAAACGTTTTTTTTCCTGAATTTACTCAGTGACCCAGCTTTCTGTGATAATGAATTCCACCAATTGATTGCCCTCTGAGTGAAGAAATGTTTCCTCATCTCAGTCCTAAATGGCTTACCCATTATCATAGCATCATAGTATCCCTACATTGTGGCAAGAGGCCATTCGCCCAATTGAATCTGCACTAGCCCTCTGAAGAGCATCCCACCCAGCCCCAGCGCCCAGGCTAATCCACCTAACCTGCACATCCCTGGAAACTGCAGACAGTTTAATATGGCCAATCCACCTAACCTGCACATTAAGAAACTGTATCCCTTGGTTCTGGACTCCCCAATCAGGGAAAACATCTTTCTTGCATCTTGTCTGTCCAGCCGTGTGAGGATGTTATACATTTCAATCAGGTCCCCTCTCATCCTTCTAAATTCCAGTCAAAACAGGTCCAGTTGAACAATCTATTCTCGTACGACAGTGCTGCCATCTCCAATATCAGCCCAGAGAACCTTTGCTGCACACCCTCTATGACAAATATAACCTCTCTTAAGTTGGGAGACCAAACTGTACACAGTACTCCTGGCAGCAAGGCCCTGTATAATTGCAGTACAACAACTCTATTTCTGAACTCAAATCCTCTTGCAATAAAGGTCAACATACCATTTGTCTTCTTAAATGCTTGCTGCAACTGCCTGTTTACTTCCATTGACTGGTGTACAATGATACCCAGATCCTTTTGCAGATCCACAATTCCCAATATACCCTTCTAAATAATACTCTACCTTTCTCTTTTTCATGCTGAAGTGCATAACTCAAAATTTACCTATATCATACCACTTCTGCCATGTGTTTGCCCACACAATCAAATTGTTTAGATCACTCTGAAGCCTCCTTGGATCCTCCTCACAACTCAATCCAACCTGGTTTAGTTTTGTCAGCAAACTTGGAAATTGTGCATTTGGTTCCTTCATGAAGTTACTTAAATATGTATTTTTATATATATTGTGAAATACAGTAACAATGAATGTCGCACTCCACTAGTCACTGCCTGCCACCTAGAAAAGGAGCCATTTATTCCCACTCTTGGTTTCTGGCCTATTGACCAATTCTCAGTTCATGCCAGTATATTATCCTCAATCCCATGTGCTTTAATTTTACCCACTAGTCTCTTATGTAGGACCTTATCAAAAGCCTTCTTGAAATCCAGATACACCATATCCACTGGTTCTCCCTTTTCCATTCTATTATTTATATCCTCAGAAAAACTCGAGTAGATTAATTAAGCATGACTTCCCATTTATAAATCTATGATGATTTGTTTAGTCCCATTAATTCTTTCCAAGTCTTCTGTTATCACATCTTTTGTAATACTCTTGCATTTTCTCCACTGATTACAAGAGTCTAGAGGCAATATGTTCTTTTTAGTGTGAAGGGCAAGGCTGGTAGGTGTAGAGAATGCTGGACGACTAGAGAAATTGAAGCTCTGGTAAGAAAAAGAAGGAGACATATGGCAGGTAGAGACAGCTGGGATTGAGCGAGTCCCTAGAAGAATACAAAGGCAGTAGGAGCATACTTGAGAGGGAAATCAGGAGGGAAAAAAGGGGACATGAGATAGCTTTGGCAAATAGGGTTAAAGAGACTCCAAAGAGATTCTACAAATACATTAAGGGCAAAAGGGTAACTAGGTAGAGAATAGAGCCCCTTAAAGATCAACAAGGCTGTCTATATGTGTAACCGCAGGAGATGGCTGATATACTAAACAAGTATTTTGCATCAGCATTTACTGTGAAGAAGGATATGGAAGCTACAGAACTTGGAGAAGTAAGCAGAGATAGTTTGAGAAGTGTCCATACTACGGAGGAGATGCTGGATGTCTTAAAACGCATAAAGGTGGATAAATCCCCAGGACCTGATCAGGTGTATCGCAGAACTTTGTGGGAAACTAGAGAAGTGATTGCTGGGAATCTTGCTGAGATATTTATATCATCAATAGCCATGGTGAGAGGTTCCAGAAGTCTGGAGGGTGGTGAATGTGGTGCCATTATTTAAGAAAAGTGGAAAGGAAAGGCCAGGGAACTTTAGACTGGTGAGCCTGATGTCAGTGGTGGGCAAGTTATCGGAGGGATTCTGAGGGACAGGATTTACATGTATTTGGAAAGGAAAGGACTGATTAGGGATAGTCAACATGGCTTTGTGTGTGGGAAATTATGTCTAACTAACTTGATTGAGATTTTTGAAGAAGTGACAAAGAGGACTGATGAAGGCAGAGTGGTGGACATTGACTATATGGACTTCAGCAAGGCGTTCAACAAGGTGCTGCATGGTAGACTGGTTAACACAGTTAGATCACACAGGATCCAGGAAGAGCTAGCCAATTGGATACAAAATTGGCTGGAAGGTAGCAGACACAGGGTGGTGGTGGAGGTTTGTTTTTCGGACTGGAGGCCTGTGACCAGCAGTGTTCAGCAAGGATTGGTGCTGGGTCCAATGATTTTTTTTTATCAATTATATAAATGATTTGGATGTGAATATGAGAGAATTAATTAGTAAGTTTGCAGATGACAGCAAAATTGGTGGTGTAATGGACAGTGAAGAAGGGTTCTCTCAGAGTACAATGGGACCTTGGTCAGATGGGCCAATAGATGGAGTTTAATTTAGATAAATATGAGGTGCTGTATTTTGATAGGGCAAAACAGCACTGTACTTATACTGTTAATGGTAGGCTCCTGGGGAGTGTTGCTGAACAAAAAGACTTTGGGTTGCAGGTTCTTGGTGCCTTGAAGATGGAGTCACAGGTAGACAGGGTAGTGAAGAAGGTGTTTGGTACGCTTGGCTTTATTGGTCAGTGCTTTGAGTATAGGAGTTAGGATGTGCATCTGTACAGGATATTGGTTAGGCTACTTTTGGAATACTATTCAATTCTGGTCTCCCTGGTATAGGTAGGATGTTGTTAAATTTGAAAGGGGGCAGAAAAGATTTACAAAGATGTTGCTGGATTTGGAGGGTTTGAGGTGTAGGGAGAGGCTGAATAGACTCGGCCTATTTCCCCTGCGCATCGGAGACTGAGGGATGACGTCATAGAGGTTTATAAAATCATGAGGGGCATGGATAGGGTGAATAGCCAAGGCCCTTTTTCCCAGGTAGAGGAGTCCAAAACTAAACAGCATAGGTTTAAGGTGGAAGGGGAAAGACTTAAAAGATACCTGAGGGACACCATTTTTAGACAGACACCGGTGTGTGTATGGAATGAGCTACCAGAGGAAGTGGTGGAGGGCAGTACAATTACAACGTTTAAAAGGCATCTGGATGGGTACATGAATAGGAGGGATTTAGAGGGGAAATGGGCCAAATGCTGGCAAATGGGACTAGATTAATTTAAGATATCTGGTTGGCATAGATGAGGTAGACCGAAGGGTCTGTTTCCATGCCGTATGACTCTATGACTGTAAATGTGAAAATTTGATAAAACCACCGAACTGACCAATTTTATCTGTCTAACTCATGTTAAAAGAACATGCACAACAGGCTTTTCCATGTACATTAAAATAACTATACATTATAATGAAACAGTTTATAACGATCCGCAAAGGTAGAAATGATGAATTACTATTTTATAACTGTCAAACTTGAATTTTACCCCTTTAAAAGGTTTCATTATCACATAAAATCAAAAACATACAAGGCATGACATAAATATTATGGGTAGGGAAAGAACAAAAAGTCAGAGAAACAGTTCTGGCATCAGTCCAAATCACAAACATCAATGAATTGTTTTATTTTGGTCCTTTTCTATTCCTTCCTTCTGACCTATGCTGATGACATAACACTTAGCCTTGCATTCAGTGGTTAAGAATTCACCCTTTCAATACCCCGGTTGAGGTGGTTTTCCCTTTCCCCTTTCAATAGGGGATTTTCAGATACAGCAGTTCACAGAGGAAAGGTGAGGGAGAGTTGTTAGTTACTAGGATTTTCTTTTACTTCTCCACATAAAATGGAGAAAAAGAGAGATAGATGTTTTCTCTTTGCAGGCTAGATGTTTTTGTTGTGTTGTCCACATACAAGACTGTAGGCCCCTGCCCAGGAACCAATCAATAGCTTTGTACTATGATAAGCACTCCTGAACCCACAACAACTGGTTAAAAGCCAATCAAAAGACAGTCTCCAGGCAGAATTGCCAAAAACGCATAGGTGGTGCTGATTCATCTGAAATTCTCCCTCACTGCTTGAATAAGGCAATATTGAAGGTAAATTCACAATGTATTCCAACAACTTGTTCTTAAAACTGCAAACAACTCCATCCCCAGTTTGATTTAAAATAGTATCTTTTCCCACTTTCAGTTCGCAGTCAAAAAGCAACACATTGATATAAAATTGTAAATATGTTTGCTCACCAAGTTAGTAGTTTTGTGGATTCTTCGTGAAGGTCTTGTCGGAGGTGTTCCCACTGTCATCCTTAACTCTGTAGGAATGTTGGTCAGCTCCACCACTTGGATAGGTATGGGAAGAGCAGAACTGGTTTCGTAGTCACTTGCAAAAAGGCTCAAGATTGTAGATTCTTCTATATTGTGGTTCTCTCCACCCTTTATAGCACAAGCAATTCATGAAATATGAATGCATATATTGTTATATCTGAACAAGCTATAAGGTATATCCAAGTCAATTCAGTATTCTTTTGTAAGTAGGGAATGTGGGGAGAAAAGTGCTCTTGATTGAGTAGATAAATGCACTGCTTAATGGAAAGGAATAAAGTGCTCCGCAGATTAGTGCAGTCCTGAGATCAAACACTTCCTTTTGATGTACTGAAAGTGCACACAATGGACAAATTTGGAGTTGCTATATAAATTGCCCAAAGCTACTTCATTTAAACAGTTGGTGTTTAGGAAATTTTCCAGAGGTAGTAGTTGAGTTGGTTGTTATACCCGACTAAGAATAAATCTATCTCCACCCATCAAATCATCACAATTGTACTACTGCGATTAAAAGCTTAACAAAGTGAGGAAAATTAAACCTGCACCCCATGTTGCTTTGATTCATTGACTGCATCATTCAGCACATGCTAAATTTGGTTAATTAAATGTTACATTGTCTTTAATAAAACATTGAGATAGTCAAGTACTAATAAGAGTAGATCATATAACCAGGAAAACTAAAATATGCAATTTAAAGTTTGAGTTTACAATATGAGATATATTGGATGATCACCATCTCAACTTGGACCAAAAAAGGCTATCAGGGCCCTCAGATTAAATAAACATAACTTGCCTTTATTTAAAAAAATTGAAATGTTAAGACAGGGATGTGATGTTGTACTGGTAACACCATTGGACTGGAGTAGCCCAGAATTCTAGGGTAAAGTTGTGGGCACAAGAGTTTGAATCCCACCAGGGCAGATAGTGAAATTTTGATTAAGTTTTTAAAAATGAAATTTAACAAACAAGCTTAATAGCAACAATGTAATGATTATCATTCACTAATGTCTTTTCGGAAGGAAACTGCCAGTCCTTACCAAGTCTCATCTACATGTGACTCCAGACCCACAGCAATGTGGTGGAATCTTAACTGTGTTCTGTTTAATGAGCCATTCTGTTATATCAAGCTGCCACAAAGCCTAAGAAAAGGATTAAACAGAACTGATCACCCAGCACTGACCTGGAAAAGACAAGGCTGAAGCATTTTCATTCGTCTTAATTTATTAGTACATTAAGAACAAGAGGATAAGTAAGAAAAGGTTTGGCCTTTCAGAGGCATATATGAGGTTGCAGAAGATGTGAACAGGAGTCTAAGTGAGTATTTTGTCTTTATCTTCACAAAAGAGAGGAATCATGCAGACATTCTAGTTAAAGAGGAGAAGCATTAGAAATATTAGATAAATTAAGCATAATGAGAGAGGAAGTAATGGAGAGACTGATCTCCTGAAGGCTGATAAATCACCAGGGCCAAATGAAATGTACCCTGAAAGATGCCAGTGAGTAAATAGTGGATGCTGCGAGGATCATTCACCAATGCTCACCAGAACAGGCAAAGTAGTAGAGGACTAGGGGTCTACAAACTTTGTAATATTATTCAAAAGGATGCAAGTGATCTGCCAAATAATTATAGGCAGGTCAGTCTGAGCTCAGTGGTGGGTAAATTACTGGAATTAATATTGGAGGATAGAATTAACTGTTACTTGAGGAGGCATGTTAAGAAGCTTGTTAAGGGAAGGTCATGTTTTACTAAATTCATTGAATTTTTTGAGGCAGTAACAAGGAGCATTAATGAGGGTAGTTGAGGGGAATTTGTTTGCATGGATTTTAATAAGAAATGTGACAAGGTCCTAGGGTAGACTAGTCAGAAAAATTAAACACTACCTCAACCATTAAACTGGGCAGCGAATTCCAGATACTTGTGGTGAAAGATGTTTCCCTATGACCCTGCTAATCCTTTCATCATTCACCTTAAATCTGTGCCTCCTACTAACTGACCATGGATATAGGGGAATATGGAAAGTTGGATCCAAAATTTACTCAGTGACAAGAAATAAACAGTAATATTTAACAGATGTTTTGTGAATGGAAAGTGGTTTCCAGTGGTGTTCCAAAAGCCTCTGCTTTGGATCATTAGGTATTCTGGTATGCATTGATATAAGATTAAATGTGGGAAAAATGATTGGGAAATTTGGAGATAACACAAACATTGGAAGGGATGTTGACAGTAAAGAGAATGGCTGTTGACTGTGAGAAGATGTAGTTTTTTGGTTGAAATGGAGGAAAAGTGGCAAATTGAATTCAATCCAAAGAAGTGCAAGGTTATGGATTTGGGAAGAGCAAACAAAGCAAGGAAATACACAATAAACAGGAGGGTTCTGCGAGGAGCACAGAAAGTGTGTCCAGAGGACCCTGAAGGTGATAGGACAGGCAGATAAGATGGTAAAGGCATCTTTCTTTCTTTCTTTCATTGAGCAAGCTTTTGAATACCAAAACAGGGATCTATTGCTGCAAAGATAGTAGGAACTGCCGATGCTGGAGAATCTGAGATAACAAGGTGTAGAGCTGGATGAACACAGCAGGCCAAGCAGCATCAGAGGAGC